TGCCTGATGGTAGCAGAAAAGCAGGGTGTCCTCGTCCCTGGGAATGCAACATCAAGGGTGATGGCCAGGGAGTCCCAGGTGGGCACCAGGACCTCCAGCGTCCCAGCCTACCTTCAAGGGCCAGCTCACTCGCTCCCTCCACCACGAAGCCAAGCCTGGTGTCACCCCCACCTCAAAGCCACAGTGCCTTGTTCTTCTCTTCTCGTACTTACCATGGTCTCCCCATCGTGAGACAATTTTGACACTTTTCTTCTTCCCATCGAGTTCCTTGCCTGACGGTGGCAGAAATGCAGGGTGTCCCCAGCTGGCTGTCCCCACTTCATCCATCCCCTCCTCATGGAACCCTCCACTGAACCCTCCATGGAACCAAAAAATAAACTGACTTTGGTCTGGGATTATATTGTATGTTATTCATTTTCTGTTCTATGTATTGTGCTTAATACAGTCGTCAGCAAAGGTTACATGCTGAATAAATATTTATGGAAGGAAGGAAAGAAAGTGAGAAAGCCAGACTGTGCTGGTGGCCCGTCCTTCCAGGCGGGTGTGACGGTGAGTGATCGAAGGTTTTTGCTGAAGGGCACGAGCGAATCGGGACACTCAGCAGTTCAGTACGCTCCTTAAACAGCCGTGATTTTTTTCCAGTGCTCTCGTCAATGAATTAATCTAACCCTGCGTCAGCTTTCCTTTGTTTTGAGCTTGTTTGCTGCTTGAATTAACAAATTCTGCAAGTCCACAACTAAAACCGTCGTCGTATAGTCTCTAACCAAATGGCCAAGGCAACGTCAGACAGAAAGAGCCTGGATTTGGAATCAGACAGATTTGAGTCCTGGCTAAGCTCAGGAGCCTGGGGAACCTTAGACCAGTCCCCCCACTTCTCCAGCCCCGACCCCCTCTTCTGTAATGTGGACCATTGTGTACCCACCACGGCTGTTCTAGAGATTAAGTGTTGAGGTGCAGGCAGAATTCCTAGCACGATGCCTCGATTCATTGTTACCTTCTACATTGTTAGTACTGTCCTTCTGCCTTCTCAGGTGTGGTCTTTCTGCACTCACATACCTTAATGTTTTTAGTCTATCTTTACACGGAAACCTTGTTGTAGCCCCTTGATCATGTCCATAATATGCTCTGGCCCTTTCTCAAATTTTCTTCCAGCGGAAGAAAGGGAGGAAAGCCACAAGAAAATGATGAAGGCTCCAGGGGCCTGGATGTTTCTGTGTTTTCGTCTTTGGTTGGGTTTCAGGGAAAACCAGAAAAGCACCAGCTGGAGGAATAAATCATTGCTTTTCGCTAAAGGGACATTGATGCACGCACTCTTATCCTCGGGAGTGAGGAGACTGAGACGCTGGAGGAAAGAATCTGGGTTCGTCATGCCTGGCAAAGGGAAGCTGGGTATGGGGGAGAAGAATATTTCAGGCTGGAGCATTTGAAGGCAGCTGAAGGCGTCCGTTCCAAAGCGAACAACTGAAGGCATTTACAAGCTAGACATAAACTAACTCTGATGAAATGATTGGGAAATTGGGCAGAGGAACTTGTTTTACTGGCTGAGAAAAATGCAGCCCATTCAAATCTGAAATTGAACTGCTGGGATGATTAACTGCCCTCCCTAAGAAGTCAGGGTTATAATCAGGGTGTGGTCCTTTCTGTTCTTTCACCGGCTATTTTGGGCTATGTTTTCTGAAGGCAGACGTAATTGTTACATTTGCAGATGTTACATTTAGTTCTTCACGTCTGGGATGTGTGTCTTTATTTACAGGAAACAAGTTTAATTAAAAAATACATTTCCTTTCATAGGCCCTTTTGGCTGGTTACACTGTTTCTGTTTTGGAGGAAATTTTACCTAAATATTTCCCTTAAATTCTTTTCAGAGTTCCTGGTCCAAGCATATAGCTCAGGGAACATGCCCCTGTGCCAGGTCTAACAAAACTAGCTATACTTAGAAGAAATTAAGATGTCAAGGAACCATTTCAGGACAGGGAATGTGGGCTTGTGAGTGAGGGCCAGGCTTCTACAATTGTTTCCCCAGTAATATCGAAGGATAGGAGAGGTGAATTAGGAAAAGGGACTTTAGTTCCACAGGTGAACACCCACCACCCTGACATAATAGTAACTCCTCTTATTGAGTGACATGCCAGGCACTGTTCTCAGCATCTTACAGGCATTTTCACTGAATTCTCCCAGTAGCTCTACAAGGCAGTATTACTATAGTCAGCACTTACAGGTGAGGAAACTGGGGCTTATACAATGTGAGTCACTTGTGCAGTGAACAGCTAGAGGAGACCTAGAATTCAAAAGCTGGCCTAATTCTATACATGCTCTTGACTTCCAGCCTTTCCCCCCCTTCTTCTCCCTTTACCCCTTTGCTACTCCTCTTGTTTCCATATGTGTGGTTCCAGTGGGACTAACTCTGATCCAGCTTCAGGGGTGGGGCATGTGAGTTAGGCTAAGCCAATCAGGGCAGGGCCAAAGTGATTGGTCAGGAGTGGTCACATGACCCAAGCCATTCTAATCAGAATGGATGGCAGGGCTTTGGGGTAAAGGTGTCTCCAGCCCTCTGTACCGTGGACAGTGTGAATGTGAGGTCTTCAACCACTGAAACAGATCACTATTACAGGAAAGACTGTCTGAAAGTGAAGCCAACATTCGGGGAGACCTGAGGTGGAGGAACTGCAGAGGTAATGAAGGGCTGATGCTGCACCAAGCTCCACAGCAGACCTTGGCTGACGCCTGAACCACCTCGGGGCTCAGTAGTCCCAGAAGCCAACCAAGTCCCCACGTGTGTGAGCCAGATTGAGCTGCGTTCTGTTACCCATGGCCAGACGTTCTGAGCCATGTGATTACACTGTCCCAAGGTCAGCATTCTGCCCAGACCGTAGCCTCACAAAACTAGAATTTCCTTCAAAAAAAAATTCTGTACAGAAGAAGGATTGAAATTGTCCTCAAAATATAGAGAAAGGCTGGTGGGCACCAAAATGATTGGAGCGGACCGATTTTCACGAGAGTTCTTTGAGAGTTCTGGTGGCGTAGTAAAATCCTGAACCATACTGTTACTATTTTTCCTCTTTAGGAAAGTTTCTTGAGGACAAATTTTTGGAATTTTTGATGGTAATTTTTGAAACAGTAGCAATTCTTTTTATAAGAAGAGGAGAAGTCAATTTATGTTCTTTGGCAGACTGTGCGGACACTCTGCCTCCGCCCCGGACACCACACAGGTGGCCAGCCTGAGAGAGCTCGGCTTGGGGTCACCCTCCCCAACATCTCCTCCGTTCTGGGCTGCCACTTCCAGCTCAATCTATGTTTCCATGTTCTGCCAGAGTATTAAATAATAACAGTGACTCTGGCATTTCTCCTGCCAAGGCTGTTTGTATTATGTTTAATAGGAGTCCCCTGAACATTGAAATACTTTCTCAACTTGCTGGCATGAAACTAAAGGTGTAATTTAAGGCCCATGACAGGACATTTAAAAAAAAGACATATTTTGGGGCAAAGAAACATTTTCTTTCCTCTCAAATCATGTCTTTACTGAAACTGCTTGTGTACTTGTGTATTCAGACATGGTTAGGATCTACTCCATGTATGGAAATCCCTGTTTAATCCAAACATAGAGGGTCTGAAACTTTCTCTCTCTCTCTCTCTCTCTCTCTCTCTCTCTCACACACACACACACACACACACACACACACACACACTGTCAATTTTAAAAAGAGCGTAAAGGGACCAGGAAGGGAACAGCTGAGTTCTGCTATGTCTTTGGAAAGCTGTGACAGCTGTCCTGCACTGTAGGAACATGTGAGTACAGAGTCTACCCAGGGCCTTTGCTAGTCCTGGGGATGTTTGTCGTAGCTCACAGCAACCTCAAACTCCTGGGCTCAAGCGATCCTCCTGTCTCAGCCTCCCAAGTAGCTGGGACTACAGGCATGCACCACAATGCCAGGCTAATTTTTCTATTTTTTGTAGAGACAGAGTCTTGCTCTTGCTCTGGCTGGTTTCAAATTCCTGGCCTCAAGTGATCCTCCTGCCTTGGCCTCCCAAAGTGCTAGGATTACAGGTGTGAACCACCACCCCCAACCAGATGCTGATTTTAAAGTTCTGATTCACCAAGCACTTATAGCCTGCTGTTCCAGGTGGTTTAATTATGTACATATAGTTATTAGCAGCAACTAACATTTTTTAAACTCTAGAATTTCTTCCTCTTTTAATTTCTAACATAGTGGCACTTTTGTGAATATAAAAGACCTGCAAATGATAAAGTCTACCTACCCATCTTACTCTAGCCCCTTAGCAAGAGCAAGAGAGCCAGACATTAGGCCCAGTGACACTGGAAGTAGAGGGCTGGGGTGGGGGGCACAGGATGGCAAAGGGGCTGCAGAGCCCCCTGTGTGATCTGCATATCCCGGGAGAGGAGAAGTCGGGGCTGCCGAAATGGCTCTGGCAATAGGATGCGCAACTTGCTCATTTATTGAGGGCAACGAGGAAGGTATCCTAAGAGGACAGTGCCTGATACATTAAGTGTTCAGCAGTTACTCCTGGAATGAATTCATGAATGCAGTAATGAGTGCCATCATGTGCTGAGGTCAAGTATCGTCATGCTTTGGGGGGTGAAGGTGAAATGAGTGTTTGGATGAGTGAGACTATGCTGCCACTATCCATGAGTTTGCATGAACTTTTGGCCATCGTGGTCCAAGGGTAGGGGGTTCGCCCCGCCCAGGAGAGGCAATGGCACATTTTCCCAGGGCTCTGATTTTAGCCAGACCATCATCCTCCTGAATTTCTTGGAACTGCTTATGCAGCCCTGGCACCCAACACTTATATCTGGAGGAAATGACTTTTTAACTACAGCATTGTAGAAGATTCTTTGAACAAGTCGCCATGAACAGTGGCGGGCCAGCCTTCTTTATTCTCAGTAACCGCGAGGAAGTGCTCTAAGGAGCTGGAAAGCAGGTGAGTCTCGTGTGAGGCAGCTAATTAGAGAAGAAGGATGGACCTTCGAGACGCCTTAGTGACTCCCAAGAGGCTCCTTGGAAGCAGATAATTTGGGGGCTTCCTTACATCTGTGCAGTCTGAAGATGTCTGGTCCTGGGGCTAAAATGAGCAGCTGCGCTCTTGGGGGTCTTCTTTGCAGGGCCGATGTCTGTTGTCAGCTGGTTTTTATGCGGTAGGTTCAGTCTGAGGAGCTGGGAGTTCTCTTGAGAGGAGCTTGCTGTGATTTTGCTGCAGGCCACAGTCAGGAGGAAATGATGGTGGCATTGGCGCAGGCCACGGTGGCACGAGTTTCAGTATACAGTTCTAGCAAAACGTGGTATTCTCCCTGCAGGAGGCACAGGTAAAGTGTTAGGCATGTGAGCCACAGTACAATCAACCACTTTACAAATGTTTATCGAGCATCTTCTATGTGCTGGGCGCTGTTCTAGACACTGGGGACAAAGTAGAACAAGACTAACCACCGCCCTCCAAGCTCTGTGGAGCTCACAGTCTCGCTGGGTGAGAGAGGGTCCACACCACAGGTGACTGCCGAGGTGGTCAGACACTGATGCTCGTGCAGGAAGGGGCAGGCAGGAGCTCAGGCAGGGACAGGGTAAGTGCTGGTTTGCAGTTTTAAGTAGGGTGGCCCAGGGAGGCCATGCCGAGAAGACAACGTTTAGGCAAAGGCCTCAAGAGTTTCTGGAGTGTGCTACGCTGCTGTGGCCTGCTGCCCCCACATTCGAGGGACAGCAAGGAGGCCAAAGGGGCCTCAGGGGGAAGAGAGGGTGAGGAAGTGAGGTCAGGGAGACGCAGGAGGGCAGACTCTTGGGGCCTCGCAGGCCATGGTGGGGATGTCGGCTTCCACCCTGAAAGGGATTCGTGTCTCCAGAGTTTTCCCCAGAGGAGTGGCCTGATCTGATGGTTGTGTCAGTGGGATCCGTCTGGCTGCCGCTGAAAAGACGGGGTGGGTGGCGGTTGCAGTCGTGCAGGTGAGGGGCAAGGGTGCTGGGGGCAGAGGGTGGTCTGGGGGAGAAGGGGGTGGATTCCGAGAGGATCTGCTGAGGAAGTCGAGTGGGTGGGGAGAAAGAGCTGCGCGGAAGGCGACTCGAAGGCTCCTGGCCTGCGAGACTGGAAGGACACAGGGTCATTTGCTGGGACAGAGAAGACCGCCGGGGGCGCACGATTCAGCAGCACAACATCCAAATGCTCTGGCACGAAAGGTATGGCCACTTTCGGCTTTCCTTTCTGGCAGCGACACTGCACAGAGGGCTCCCTTCCTTTACGGTTAGCTTCGAAGAAGCCGTCCGAGCGCCGCGTGAGGAATGGCAGAAGAGTCCCAGGGCTGGCGCCGCGTCTGTTTCGCTCTCTGTCCAGCGCCCACTGGCCACGAGGTGGTGACAGGGTTGTGGACACTGATCTGGAGAAGAAAAGGCTGGGGGAGGCGGAGTGTGGAAAGCAGGCAAAAGGACTGAGGGGAGGAGGCACATCCGGAAACTGCCTGTCACCAAAGGAGGAAAGGGTGTAACCTGTCCAAAGCCAGAGGGAGGGAAGCAGTCAGACCACAGAACAGAAGTTGCGTGAGAGGCTGCGTTTGTCGGAAGAGAATAACTCTCTAGCACGTTGCTGAGGCTCAGAAGAGGGGGATCCCCGACACTGAGGCTGCGCTAAAGAGAGCCAGGCTCCGCTCTGGACGGGCCCAGTGTGAGGCTCCCAGAAATCTCAAATATTGAGCAGCCAACATTTTAGAAACAGTGTCAGGAATTTAACCAAAGCTGCGTAAAAGTTAGAGAATTAATTACGAGTAAAGACTGGCTCAAGTTTATATCTGATTGTGTCACCCTCATCCTCCTCATCCTCATCTTCACCTACTTTTCTTTTAACTCTCTCTGTGCATTTAAGTCCACGCCCTACACGATTATTGAAATCAAGTGAATTTTTCATCATTGCTTTATAAGCCTAAGAGAAGATGTATCTGAAGGAAGGGCCTTAGATTATGAGCTGTGGATACACAGACTTCGGTGTACGGGGGAAGGGCATTTAGGCAGCCGTGCCAGTCTGGGGGCAGTGGGTTGTGCACCGGGAGGACAGGAGGCCGGGCAGCCTTTCCACTGTTGAGGGCACTGAGGTTGCAAGTTAGGACTTCGAAGGTGCATCCTCGGTGATACACGGTTCAGGCTGTGTCTACAGGCTGTTGCTCCGGGAGCCCCCCGGTCTCTAAATTCCAGTTCAGAAAACAGCAGCGCACAGACAGGTACAGGACACAGGCAGGGCTTCGATCTGGGCCATGGGATTGGATGAGTTAAAGGGGAACTGATATCAAGGCTCTAAGGATTGAGCTCTGAGTGGGAAAGTTTTTGGCCACTCAGAGACCCCCATTAGCCCAGAGCCCATCTGTGGGGAATTTGGTTGGAGGAGAGGGCATGAGGGTATGGGGTGGGTCTTTCCAAACCAAAAGGCTGCCTCTGTCTCTGTCCCACACTAGGGAAGTGAAGTCCTGGGCCCTGCAGGCGGCTGTGGCTGGTCTGCGGCCAGTGTAGGGAGCCCGTCTTGGGACCCAAGCCCCCAGCCGCCTCCGCTCAGACGCGACCCCCTCCCACTGGCACTGCCTCCTCGAGCTCCGTCACCGGTGGAAGAACTCGGGCATTGCACTTCCCCCAAATGTCACAGGTGAAGGGAATAAGGCTTTTTACACCTCTGGCCAGTTTTTTCTTTCAAAGGGATTCTTTGACTTTAAGACTTTCTTTTCCCCTCTATTTCATATAATTGCTAAGGGTAGATAGTTAAAAAAAAAACCCGATAATGTAAAATGAAAATCAATTGTTAGCAAATTTTAAGTCAGTCTCTAGGTGGGGGTCGGAAGGAAAGTGGAAAAAGAAAAAGAATTTAAATAGCAAAGATTTAAAGAAAAAAAAAGGCTATCTGGGATAATTTAGGTCCCACATCCTAGAATTGAAGAGAGATTGAGTTTTCCTTTCTGGCAAAACTTTCCTATCGTGCCGAGGCCCCAGGAGAAAGCTCAGGAGAACCCCAGAGGGGGCTGGAGGCCTCCCAGCCGCAGGAGCAGCGCCGGTCGGAATCCGAGACGGTATGGGGGTGGCACTCTGAGCAGGGACCAGGGGCCTGGGGCAGAGAGGAAACAAAGCCAGACGAGAAACTAAGTTAACGAGATTCTTTGTGCAGGAGGAGACCCTTTTCCTGAGTCAGATGCAGGTTTTGGAGAACTGAAATAATGAGATCGAAAACAAAAACATTTAAAACAATTACATTTTCGCAGTCCTTTTCGTGTTCTGTACGATTCTCTCAGAAGTAGCATCTTGAAAATTTATTGTTTATGGCAGAGCAGCTTGAATTCAGCCATTGAATAAAGTCACATTATTTTGAGTAAAAAGGAATTAGTGGGAAGTTCTGCTCTTAGCAATGAGCCTTGTCCACAAATGCTGAAGACGTGGCATACCGTTTACTTGGTGGTGGCCCATAGATGACAGTGCAAGGCTGTACCTAGGGGGATCTTTAAGTCCAGGGCTTTGTGTGTCTTCCGCTCTCTGAACCGCCAGCCTCCCAGGCACTAATCGCAGTGTGCGTGTGGCTGCCCCACGCAGTAAGCAGCGCAAGCCACACGGAGTCCCACGGACGCCGGCAATCCTGCCGGACCAGATGCAGGCATCCCTCTCAGGCGGAGGTTTGTATCCAGGTGATCCACAAAGGTTCAATGGTGCAGGAGATGTTGAATACCAAAATGACAGACACTAAAAGGTAACAGCTTTATCGAGAAAGGTTTTCGTAGTAATGGCCTTTGGGTAAGTTTTAAACTGTTCGATTCCCTCCTCCTTCCCCTCCTCGTTTCTTGCCTTCTCCTTCTTCAACAAACGACCTGTTCAATACAAGCATTAAGCAACAGAACACAACAGAAAACCAAAACCTTACCTTGGGAATATCCACTCCAAGATTATTGACAGGGCCAGCATAGTAGATCTGCTCTGAAAAATATGTAAAGCATTGATAACATCATTCAATCATTTAAAACAAAAATGACTCCCTCACACGATCCGTGGTCACACAGATGTGTAATGATTGTTGGTACTAAAATGGGAATAGCCATTGATAGGAATGTTCTCGTTTCCTGATGTAGACCCACCATCCATTCCTTTATACATTCATGCAACAAATATCAGCTGACCACCTGCCGTGTGGCAGCCCCTGGGATGCAGTGAGTAGAAAAGTCTGTGCCCACGTGTTGCTTATATTCTATTGAGGAGGCTGACAATACAGAAATAACTAAACAAGATGAGATTCAGACCATAAAGGGTGCTGGCAGGAACCACGCAGGCAACGTGAGAGGGTGGGAGGGCGTGGGGTGTGGGGTTAAGGGCCAGGCTGAAGCCAGGATGCATGGGGTTAAATCCTGAGACCAACCCTACAGATATTTGACCATGGACGGCCATTATCTCTCTGGGCTCTGTTTCCTGACTTTTAAGATGGGTGTGACGATGACAGTAACAGTGCCCACTTCATAGTGTTGGGAGGAGTTAGGAGTTAACCAATGTAAAGCACTAGTAACAGAACGACATCCAGGGAGCCCCCATGGATACTGGCTAATGCCAGGAACTGGGGACTGTGTGTTTCGTGGGGTGCTGGCTGGGGGTGGGGGTTGTGTGTCTCAGGAGGTGACACTTGAGCCAAGCCCTGAAGACGCAGAATGAGCCAAGCCTTTAAAGAGCTGGGAGAAGAGCGTCGCAGGACGGCGCAGTAAGAGCAGAGGCCCTGGCACGGAGAAGGGCTCGGGCAGTTGGAAGCACAGTGAGCAGGGTGGGCCACATGGAGAAGCACGTGGGAAGCCCGAGGGGTGGCAGACACTCCAGTACTTGAGGAGTTTGGATTTCATTCCCAAGGCAATGAGAAAGGTGTTACAAAGTCAAGTGAAAGTAACTAATGTATATTTTGCAGAGACATGGCACTGTGTGGGGAGTGGAGGGGAGGCAAGAGCAGAGGGTCTCCGGGCCGAGGTGAGTGATGGGTTGTTGGGGGTGGCGCTGGAGACGGAGGAACAGACGAGTTGGACATGCAGAGTGAGGGCCAGGGAGGGTCTGGGTAGGTGGGTGGGCCTAGGGAGGGTGTGTGTGTGTGTGTGTGTGTGTGTCTGTGTGTGTGTGTGGTGATTAAAGAGCTCCGTTTCTAGGGGATGGTTAATCAGGGTACTTGTAAGCAGTTGGATATACACATCTGGAATTTTCGGGAGGAGGTAGGGATGGGGTTATGAATATTGGAGTCATTAACAGAAGTCATTAGAAGGTGATAAAGCCATGGGACAGGATGGGAACCCTCCCACCCCCACCCCGAGAGAGGGAATTAAAAGACAGAGAAGGGGACAGGGCCAGAGCCACTCCCGAGGCCCTCCGGCATTCAGAGGTTGGGTCAGGGAGGAGAAGCCAGCCAAGGAGGCCAAGAAGGAGTGGTGGGTAGAGTGGAGGGACCCAGACAGTGGGACCAAAGAAGCCAGGAGATGAGTGTTTTCCAGACAGGATGACGGTATGATCAGCTGTGTTGGATGCCACCGCTGAGAGTTTGAGTAAGATGAGGACAGAAATGTGCAGTGGATTGCACAACATGAGGTCACTGGGTGACCCTGACAAGAGCTGGGAGAGGTAAGGACAGATGCCCGAATGGGCTGGGCTGAGGAGAGACGTGGAGGTGGGAAGTGAGTTTTGCCTTAGCGGGGAGCAGAACACACGAAAGGGCGTGGTGTCAAGGGTGGTTTGCTTCTGTGCTCAGGGTAGAGACACTGCACCCCACGCTTTGTCCAAAGGGAATGGTTTTGTAGGAAGAGGGAATAACTGAAGGCACGAAGAGTTTCAGAAGGTGGGAAGGAAGGCATTAGCTTTTGAGAGGAGCACAGAAATTACTCCCATTGCTGTAGGAGAGGAAAAAAGAGCAGAGCGAGCTTAAGCGCAGGTAGATTTGTAGGTTGGCAGCAGACGAACAGCGGGCTCTGCGGATGACTTTGGTTTTCCAGTGAAGATCGTGGAGACGGATAAGGGGGTGTGGCCGGCGAGGGCCTGTGCCGTGTTGAGTGGCGAAAGGAGGTACATAATATTCATCGCGGATGGTGGGGAGGAAATGCACTTGAGAAACAGAAGGATTCCTAGGCAGTGTCGAGCGCTTTTTTTGAGGTTCTTGGCCATAAATGTGAAGATGCTTCAGCCAGCCCAGATGCAGATTTTCTCAGCAACGTTCAGCAAGTGTGATGCAGGCGCAGAGAAGGTCGATAACCATGTTGGAGTTTTGCTGGACGAGAAGGGTCAGGAGAGAAAGGCAAAGCTGTCGGCACAGATGCAAGGGAACGTGTATAACAACAGGAGGCCGCGGAATCCGAGGGGTCACGGAAGAAGGTGGAGGCAGGAGGGGCGGGTGACGGTTCAAAGAGCGGTGCAGTCATCCAATGGAGTTTCATTATGGCAGTGGAGGTCCTAGAGTCAGCGAGCTGGGAGAACACAGACGCTTGGAGTCGAGATGTCAGAAGTGGTGCAGTTTCACAGGCCGTGGCAACATCCGGCATTGACACAGGGGAGGGTGCTTGAGGGGACACGATGGAAGTGGTTGTCGGCGGTAAGGAGGTGAGGAAGGTGGGCCATCTGTGTCCACACTGAAGCCAGCAAGAAGGATGACACCTCGGCCAGCTCCTGGTGATCGCTGCCTCCTCTGCGACTCCCCAGCCCTGGGAACCTAGCGCGTGATAAGCACTGTGGCTGAGAGCACAGACCTGGGGTCGGACTATCTGGGCCTGGATCTTAGCTCCTTTCCTACCCAGCACCCTGAGTGGTGCGCGTAGGCGCCATGCCTAGTAAGTACAGAGTGCAGAAGGGCTGCCCGCAACGCGTGTGCAGTGACGCTGCTCTGCGCACCCCGAGGGCACGGTTCACGTCACTCTGTGCGGACAGTGCGCTCAGAGCGGTGCAGTCGCTGGCCCGTCCACCAGTGCATGATTTCTCTTTAGGAAATTATCTTCTCCCCCGTGGATACTCTCTGACCCAAGCCAGGACAGTCAGAGTAGAGGGACAAAGAAACCCCGGCTGTTCTGGCAAGAAGTGGTTTCATTTCAACTCACCAGCTCTAGGGCTGCCCACTTTCTGCCTGGTGCTGCAGCTTCTCCCTGAATCTGAGACTCCTACATAGCCTTTCAAGAAGTTCTCTTTGCTTCTGTTGACTGCAGCAGGTTTCTGCCGCCTGCAACCCAAGGCTGTGACCGCCGCGGGCATGAGCCAGTCAAGGGCTCTCTTGCCGGCATCAGGGTTTGGGGCACAGTGTGGCTCAGGGGCAGAGTCCAGGAACGAGGACCGGGTGTGCCAGCCCCTGTCTGGTCTGGCTGGGTCCCTTGGGCATGTTTTATACTCTCTTTGTGCTTTCACAGATTGCTGTCCGGTGGCAGAGTGCCAACGACTTAACCCAGGAAACAGAAGGACATTGGTTCGAGACACCCCTTTCCCATTCACTAGCGTTTGCTGACTGTCCTGCCACTCAGCTGCCGTGCTTGCAAAATAGCGACAGGAACAGCTCCCCGCGGGGCGCTAGGAGGACCGGAGAACTTGTCTGCAGAGTCACTGAGCGGAATGGGATCCCCAGAAAGGGCAGGAACAATAGTTACCAGTTATATTAATATTCGCCCACCAGGTGTGAGGGAGAGTAATGGCACGACCGTCCCTGGGATGCTGAGTACACAAGGAGACAAGGTTTGGGAACCACTTTGTGCACAACTGCTAATCCTGAACTTCTGTTCTAAAACAATGGTGAACATGACTCTTGGAAGAGCACTGGAATGATATCGAACGTTTTGGTGTGCTCACTTAACGTCCCGAGATTGGCCAACCTGTGCTCTTCACTATTAACTGGGTCTTTACTGGGGTGAGAGATTTTCATTCAATTGGTCTCTTACACTTTACAGTTTCACCTGGAGCTTTTTGGGGCTCGTAAAGTTCCTGAGAATAGCTGCAAGGAACTCATGAAGCTGTCTTTTTTTTCAACCTGATGAAACAACACCTAAAATTAAATTCCTGCTCCTTCCTTTCTCAGATCCTCTCCGACTCTGGGCTTCCTTCAGTGAACGTTCCCACCCCCCAGTGCCATCAAAAGGGCCCCAGTGTGTTTGCGACCATTTCTGCCTTCCCTTCGTTTGAAATCTTTATCAATTTTTAATGTACAGTGGATTGAAAAATTCACCTCCCTGGTCGGAATGCATGAAATCATTTCTGCATATCGGCTTTTTTTTTTTTTTTGACCCAAATCTTTGGATGACTGTCAGTGTCTTTTTAGAGAGGAAATGGTTTTTAAATTGTGGAAATAAAAGGTCCCAAGGGTGCTGGATGACACTGACGTTAGCCGGGTGCCCGCGCCCTGCTCCGCGTCCTGTTCTCGGGAGCCCGCGCGGGGCTGGCGTGGGAGAGCCTGCTGGGGACAGCCTTCCCATCTGCCAGACCTCGCCAGGATCTTAGTGGAATTGTCCCTAATCTTTCAAATGTATTATAAAAATATCATCAAAAGTTAAACATTATTAGGGTGCTTGACAATGTAAAAATACAGTCACAATTTATCATGACGAGGCCAATTGGTATATCTAGAACAAAGACCTTTTTTTTTTTTAAAGAAAAAGATTATTTATTCATTTACTCAGCATTTTGAGCCCTTTCCTGCCTGCTGGTCCCAGTGGGGTGAGGCGGAGGAGGCAGTGTTTATTTTTCTCTCCAGTTACATTGAGGAATGATCGACAAATAAAAATTTTGTGTATTTAAGGCCGCCATGTCGATCGTCTCGCTAGTTGCCATTCGTGTGTGTGTGTGTGTGTGTGTGTGTGTGTGTGTGTGTGTGTGTGGTGAGAGCTGACACGTGTTCTCTCAGAGACGTCAAGTACACAATACAGTGGTATCATCACTAGCTAGTCACCGGGCTGCACACTGGGTCTCCAGAACTTACTCATCTCGTCTTTTCA